CTTATTAATACATAAATATTACTTTGATGAATTTTTTTTTAAATTGAGTGGGGGTGCCATATGGAACTCTTACCGTAGTATGATGTATTACAGGCATAATAATTCCAACAAGTCAAAAGTAGTAATCCCTCTAAATAAATCACTAGTTAAGCCACACTTCAAATGTTGCATACAGTTCTGGTCTCCATTCCTAAAAAGAATATTGATGTATTATTAAAAGTTCAGAAAAAAAAGCTATTACTTGACACCAAGGATGATTTGTTTGTTTCTTGAATTTCACACAAAGCTACTTGAGGGCTATCTGTGTAGCCATCCCTAATTTAGAAGAGACAGAAGACTAAAGGGAAGGTATCTGGTCAACACCACCCATAGTCAATGCTTGGATTACTCTTTACTAATGAAAAGTGTGATTGATTTGTCACATTATAAAGCCCCCACATATAAAAAGTCAAGCATATTCAATGTAAGGAATTGAACCCATGACCCTTGTATTGCAAATTGAATGCCCTAACCACTAATTCATGCCAGGCCTTCCATGAATGGAAGGGTTATTAGGGAATAGGTAAGGATCTTTTATTTCTTCTTGGGAAAAGAAGATTAAGAGGTGTGTTGATTGATTTTTAGTTTTTACCTAAATACATAGCTTGCTCTGACTGGAAGTTATATTATTTGCAAGATTATTTGGAGAATCAGCAACATAAGGGCTTCCGATTTTGTGTGTATGTATGTGTGCTGAATTCTGAAGCCAACAGGATGAGAGGACACAAGTTTAATATATTAAAATAAAGAAATGGCCCTAGTTAATGCAGTTTTAACTTTGTTTCCAAGAGTGATCACTTATGGGATGAGTCACCATCACTGGTAATGGAAGTCAATATCTTAATAGTTTCAGAGGTGAATTAGGAAGGACTGGCTTAATTTTTATTTGTATTTTTGGAGGGGGAAATGTGGCAGGAATAGCCTTGAAGGACCAAATGGCCCATTGACTGAACATGTAAAGCACTTCAAAGTTCAATGTTATGTATGCCTTTTTCATTCATTATTTGGGTTTTAAAATACAAATACGTAGATAAGTATTGAATTGCTAACAACAGGGTGACTATCACTAATACTATTAGTATAATTAAGGGCAAGACTATGTGTTCCACTAAGTTTCAAACAGCAGCAGCTGCCAGGTTTCTTAAAACAGTTTGAGCTAAAAAACATTATAAATCTAAGCCATGCAGATCAATGAATTTTTGTAAGCTTACTAGGTCCAATTTGATCAGCTGTAGCAGTGTAGGCAATTCGTATAATTAAATTTTAACCAAAATTTGCACACAAAAGAAATCAACTTATTTTAACAAATATAGTCACATTCCCAGATTACTTACGATTCTGGTCAATTTTAGGCATGTTTTCTATTCCCTTCTTCTTTTGATTTTTGCCTGGTTTACCGAAACCAGGTTGATTAGAAGCATTTTTATGTTTACCAGATTTAACAACTTCCCATTTACCAGCAGAAGACATGGTACCGAAATGATAACGTTGAAATACGGTGAAACTTTAATCAGCTTGCTCACGTCAGCACACTTTAGTGCCACCTATTGACATCTGAAGAGTACAATTATTTATTAAAGTTACAATTAGTGTAACAAACAAACACGTAAATAAATAATAATAATTATCTTTAAATACAAAGTGTGTTTTACTCATTGTGGTTTTCTTTCAATTAGTACCATGGCGTTTGAGTGAAAAGTTATCACGTTCCTCTAACCTTATTTAAGTAATAATAACAAATAAAAATTAAAGTAAAAATATATTAAACTTCTATTACAAGAGATGAATTCATGATTTAGAAGCCTCCCATTGGCTCAGTGGCTTGTCAGTCTTTGGCTTGTAATGTCAATAATCAGGCTACATACCCATGTAGAGTACAAACTGCTCGTTGTGTAGCTTTGCGCTTAACAATAAACAAACAAGCTAATTGAGAATTACAAGAAATATAGAAATTCAAAGAAATATATTGAACAATTGTAATCAAATACATCCAAAACTTCACTTTAAAATTTTAATACAATAATTAAAATGAATTTTAAACAGAACTAGACAACCCGTGCCCCGTTGGGTCATCCACTATTCAGAGGTTATGAAGAATTCAAGCTAATTTCAATATTGCACCGAAATGAAGGTTTATTATGAGATAATTTAATTAAATATTTCAATCCATTAGTGTTATTCGTAATTCAAGAAAATATATTTGATTGTTGATCGGAAGTAAAAAGAAAGACAATTTCATTTTTCAAGAAAGTGAAGTCAGAATTTTCAGGTATTCTGATGAATTAGTTCATTATGTTATGGTCTTTCCTC